ATTAATGTTTAAATAAGATAAAAATTATAATTGATGGTTGAACATGTGTTGTTCATTTAAAGACTTGTTAAACAAGTATCATATCATATAAATATAAATATAAATATATATATATATATATATATATATATGTTTAATCAAATCAGAACTAGATAGTTTGTGGTAACTGTGAGGTCCAATATAAGTCAATCATTTTGAATAATTAATGTTATTTACTAAAATAAAACAAAGGGTAAATTGGTAAATATATATTATAAAACACAAGAATCAAAACCTAAATCCTTTTATCTTCTTCCAAAAACCACACCACCGCCTTCACGTCTCTATATCCCAATATTCATCTAAAATGACACTCCACATCCCAATCTTTACCATTCTCAAGAAATCCAAACCATCTTCTCCATAACCCATCATAATCTCAACACCCTAGTGAATCCACGAAAACCCTCTTCTCAATTACCTTCAAAATAAACAAAAATCAAAAAAAGATCACAGATCGTAGACGATTTCGAACGTGCGAAGACATCTAAAGAAATAAACAAAGCATTTGAATCCATGGATGCTTCTTTCGATCACCACGAACTTGGCTTGGCTTCCTTGAAAATCAGGCTCAAACTCGATGAAGAAGGTGAGTATCCAGAAAAAGTATTCGATTACGCCAATAAATCTTTAAAAATCTTGGATGAAATCGACAATGATACGTCTTTACCACTTGCTATGAACTTACAATTGTTGGGTTCTGCTTGTTATAACTTAAATAGGTTTAATGAAAGTTTAGGGTATCTTAATAGAGCCAATAGGATATTAAGGAAACTAGAGGAAACTATATCTGATAATGATTTCAATATCTGATAACGGGTAAGGTGCAAGAATCGGTGTCGTATTTGGAAGATGCAACTAAAAAATTGATGGAAAATTTTGGTTCTAAGCATTTTGGAGTTGGATATGTGTATAATAATTTGGGTGGAGCATATTTTGTTGAGTAATTGTGGATATCCATTGATGTCCGTCCAAACTGTATAAAAACCTGGTGAAGGATCATCAGAACTCTTCCATGATGTCAAGTTCCTGTGTGTATCCGCCAAGGTCCACACCCAGTTTCATTCCTGGTAACAAGGTGTCTCCAGGATGATCAAAACTTTGCCAAATGAGGTTGCCACTAATCTCATATTTGAGGACAAGATTTCCATCATCCAAAAGTTGTGCCACCGGATTACAGTGTGTACTTTCGATGTTTTTTAAGGTGTATCACAATGTATTTTTGTTATTTTATAAAGTGTATCACAGTGTATCAGGTAGTCTTATTTTATGAACTGTATCACAATATGCAATTTCATTATTTTCATTGTTTTATCAAGATGTATCACAATGGATTTGATTTTGTTTTTATGGTTTAAGTTGGTATCATAGTTGGTATCACAATAGTATCACAGTATATAACAATGGATATCACATAGTGTATCTTTATGATTACTTGGTACGTGCCAGAATAATGTTCACCGGAGGCCGGAGATTGGAGGTCGGAGAGAGAAGAGAGGAGTTTTTTAAAAATACCTAAAATGCCCTCTAATTATAATTTTAACTCAAACTACCATAATTACTAATTTCCTTATTTATC